CATAGTCGATAGTGTTTATAACCCCTATCGTGTTAGCCTTCTGAAGTTTTGATTTTATTGTATATATTTCATTGCGAAGTTCTACTATTGTTGTTGAATTAACAAGCATTTCCTAATTTTAATTTTACTACAGAGCATGAGAAAGTTACTAGTTCATAGATAATCCGAAAAAAAGCACTGTGACGGTTGTCAATTCAATTAAAAGTAATTGGAAAAGATGACTTTGCAAATTTACGAAAAAATCGCCGATAAAACAGCTCTTAAAGCGTTCTTCCGTTTCGGCTCTTGAAGTTTCAAAGTTAAAGTAGCGAAGCGCTCTAGTTAACCAAGAATTCCTGTAGAACTAAGTATTAGTGAAAAACCAGTTCTGTGCTATTTGCACAAGAATGGATACAAGAAAAAGGTCGTCACTTGATGGGTTGAACACCACCACAGCAAAGTGGTAAGTTTCTTGGACTATACTTTGATATCAACCTATTTTCGAAGTGATTGACGCGATGCGATAAACGCTATGCCAACAATGTGCAAAAAAAAGTCGGGATCTAAGTTTTGTAAAGTTGCTCAAACAATTGTAAAACGATGAATTGACGAATATGGTTTTAATTTATTTTTAATGCGGCTTGTTTTTGGTCAATTATATTGCTCCGGCTATATTTAACACTACTGCTTTTCGCACCGCTTATTAAAAATTCCTACTACAATAAACTCAATGCTCTCGTTAATTTCATTTGTTTTATGAAACGCAAATAAGATTTCATGACATTTTTTGTCGAGAGAAACTTTGTATTCGTCTTATTTTCAGAGTAGCTGACCATATCGCTCATATTGGCCAAATGGCACGTTAGGTTTAAGATCAACGATCTTTAAATACAGCTTATCTTTGTTTTTCACATTATATGGGTTTCTTGTAATACCGCGCAAATGGAGAATGAATGTTTGTATATCAAACTAAGAAATCAAAGACAATAGCAAATCTGTTTGTTAGTCATTTACTAAACATGAAATAGAAATAATACATTTTTTGAAGCGTAATGTAAACGCAAAATAAAAATTCAAACAGTTCTGTTCCAGAGATAGAAATTAAAAATAAAAAAAAGAGAAAGAAAAAATTAACGGAAAAACAAATATTTTTATCTATTTATTTATGTGTTTTGACAATAATTACTATAAGCTGATTACAATAAAATTGGCGAATTGAAGAGTATATATATATTTGCTTTACTTCACTTTGGCCATAATATTGGGTGGCTTTAATTGACCGCAAAACACCTTGGCCCTATAGTGATAATTCATATGGCAGTATGGTCCCCGCTTTAACATTTGAGTAAGCCAGTGTATTTTTTTAATAAATTATTTCATCGAGACTTACTTCAATATAACCCTATTCCGATACTGCCAGATCGTTGCTTTGTTTCTCTCCCAGAGATAGTTGTAAAATGGTTTATATGCTAAATCCCTTTTGCGTAACTATACAATATGATCTTAATAAAGCCAATATTGTATTGCTTAAATCTCATTTCTCACACATTACGTTAGATTTCACTGCTGGGATTATAGGAACCCTAAAATCCTCCATCTATAATTTATTAAGCCTAGCTCTTTCTTTCCGAGCAGACAACTGCCCCTTTATAGTACTTGCCTGCCATCGTCCAATAAAATAATTGAATACGATAAAAATAAGAAAAACACACCTTTTAAAAAATATATGAAAGTGGGACTGCGTAGCACTATTTCGTTTACTCTTCGGTGAGACATAGGGATTCAACGACATTAACCGTCAACGTTGCCTACATAGAGTCGAGTCCTCGCTTCGTAGCAATCCTAAATGCTTTTGTAAATTTGTTAATTCTAGAAGAAGAATATCCACATATCACTCTTCCATCTCTCTTAGTGGTTCCGAATCTTCCGGTGATATTGAAACCTCGAATCTCTTAGAGGAATATTGGCATCGAAATTTCTCTACAGCTGGTTTACAGATGGAATTGGTGGTTGCCCATATCAAATCACAAAGACTTGTAGAGTTGTGCGACTAGGCCTGATGGCATCCTATCTGGGAACTCTATTTACTTAATGCTTAGTCAATGTGAATTCAATTAAGAGCTTTTCGATCCTTTTAGTATCCTTTGCAACAATCCAAATCGGGTCCCTAAAAAGCTATCAATTCAAATTTTCTAAATACCCGCTCTTTGCCTATATCGTGTCTAGATTACTTTCTAATCTCGATATCTTCATGGGATCCGAAAATTTAACCACATTTTTCACTATTATCGGTTGCCTAACTTTTGCATGTTTGTAATGACATCGGGGATACACCTCTAAAAGGGGTTTACGCTGGTTATTGGTGTCCCTTTAGATGTGCACATGCTATTTTTTTTCTTTTTTCTTTTGTTTACTGTATTTATTTATACATGAATTTTGTTCATTGTTCTTTAAATGCTTTTTAATCTTTATCGATAACACTTAGTATAAAATTCATTTCTAAGAGCCATTTAAATTCGGCTGCTAATTTATATTAGCTGCATTTCATGTGTAAGTAAACTAAATAAATAAGGAAAAACTAATTGTGTTGAGTCAAAAATGTTCCGAACGCGTGAAGTGTGAAGCGAAGGCTTGATATATATATACAGTTTTTTTGTTGTATAGTTATTAATAGAAAAATATAACAAACTCCTCACAATGATCCTTTAAAGGTTTGCAAAATCATTGCTTGTTTAGTTTAGCTCAGTTGCCATCATTTAATCAATGTTAAATGAAGAAAAAGAAAGCAAGAAAAATATGTATAGGAATTTCAAAATAACTTTTTCTTTAAAAAAGATGTTTTCAGACGACAATGAAGAGTGAAAGCAGATTTTAGTTAAGAAAACTTTCTCCTTTCAAAAAAATAAGTTGTAACTTTTACGACACTTTATAAACTTTTATAGAATCTAAAATAGTCCTCCAAACGTTTTTGCATTACATACACATACATATATATGTATTTAATGTCTAATAGATTGGAAATTAGTTTGCATGATTATTTTAAACATCTGTGCTTGATCCAGACTATTTGAACGTCAGATATTCTTTCTTTCGTTTGGGTAACGCGTAATAGAGTTGAAAATTGTATAGAGAAGAAAACAGAACGCTATATATGTATTTAAAATTTTGGCTGATTATTTTATATTATTTTATTTATTTGATTACTTATGTTTCAGTAAATCGATTTGTAACGTATATACATAGATTACGTGACATATAGAAGGGATATTTTATATACACACGAATACAAACAGTTGTAGCAATCTTATGGATATGGATGTGATGATATGATAAAGTCTTCATAAACACCATTCATTAGGCCCAACATCAACATTACGATATTTTTCATTACATATTTTTTGGTAGACGAAGATTTTTTCTTTTTTTTGACAAATTGACAGATTTTACCAAAGCAGGGAAAGAGGCTTTTTTTTTAGCTTAGGAATGAACGATAAAAAATGATTTTATTATAATGATATAAAAAAAAAAAAACGAATGAGAAAATTTTTAATTAATCTTAGAACGAAATCGCGATTCATGTATGCACGGCATTATATAGAGTTCGTCGAGGACTTTTTTTATATAGGATTTATAGATGAAGATTAAATAACTAAAGAAAATTTTATTAGCCTTACGTTCAGAGAGGCTTTTGGATAAATAAGTGAATGACCGAAAAGAAGAATGGTTGAAATGACAGACAATAGAATGAGCAGACGAAAGCCTAGTCAAAGGCTCTCTAAGGTATAGTTCTAAGTATTACGAACAGTTTTAAATTCATTGCTACAAGTTACAAGATTTATTTATAATTGTACTACTAACTTGATGAGGGTTGCTGCTAATAATGAACTGATTCGACGCATTTACAGACATAACTTACAAAAATGAACTGGAAGCTTTTGTACATATCTGTATACGTCCATGCATTCGCTTTCTATTCCACTAAAATAAAGTATATGTGGTAACTCTCAACTCTTAACAGCAAAAACTTTTTTATAAAGCAGTACTTAATTATAATTTTGTCTAGGTAATCTTTCTTATTAAAAAATGTGAGTAAACGTGTAATCAAGAGACACTCGCTATTTATTTATTGAAATAATTATAGCCGTAATCTGGAATGGTTTCATTATGGCGATGATGTCGACATCAAAAAATTGAGGTATTCTCACTTTTGTTAAACTTATAGTTAGTAAAACCGCACGCTTGATTAAGTCAATAAAATGTTTGAAGAGCGACCTGGATTTTAAAGTGCAATAAACCTTAGTTAGTATTCTTAAATCTACGAGTCGTGTGGATTTATTAAGAAGAAGAAAGCCAGAGAGAAAAAAATGTAATCTCATTATTTTTTGCTCGCTTTTAAAAGATATCTAAAGATATTTTTTGAATAATCATCATCGTCCGGCTTAAGCCTGGTCAGCGAAGAAGGGCCTTCCCTTATAATCGAATTCGTTATGATATGTTTTCTTCGTTGAATAGACTTTTTTTTTTTTTTTTTTACTACAACTAAAAAAAGTAACAAATAAGAATTGAAAGTAAATTACTTGGCACAAATACAACTAAAGAAGTTAATAATAATTTTGAAACTTATGCTAGACACCCAAACACACGCATGTAAATTTATATATAAATAATTATATATATGTATTAATAGACACACAAGTATTTGTAGCTATAGACACATGATGACACACATATATTGTAGTAATGAATTTTTATTTTGCTTTGAACGAAATGAAAATAGTTTTGATTACTCATATTGGATAAGACATTTAAAGAGAGTGGTCATTCTATTGAAGTGAAAATGAATGTTTTATTTGAATTGATTGATTGATTTGAAACTGATTTGGGATTCTGTTGGATTGGACTTTTTTTATTTATTTACTTTTTTTTTATTTTAGTAGTGTGAGGATAATTTCTTTTGATAAACATTTTTTCTTTACATAATTTTTATTTTTTTTTAACAGCAACAAAAACAAAAAACTTACCCATTCGGACATTTCATGTGTATCAGCATTTCGATGATGATAATTTAATATTAAAATCGTTGACACAACGGATGAAGCTACCATAAACATTATGCAATTGAAATATGTACCTGTTGGTTGGTTGGGCGTGTCAAATCATTGTTTTTTTAATAATATGTACGAGTTTTTAAAACATGTGGTTTTTATATTATTTTAAGAAGTTTGTTGTTTCGTTTTTGAAATTTTGAAAATATATTTTGTTTTTTTTGTAAAATTTTTCGAAAATTTTTATAAAGTTTTGCAAAAGTGTTTGTTATAGTTTTGCAATAAAAGTAAGAGTAAATATTTCGAGTAAGTGACAGTTTTTTTGTGTTTTAAACAAATATAGCGACAGCGTAAATTCGATAGAAAAGAAAGAAACGGAGAAGCAGAGAAAGAGACAGAAAGAGATATGGGTAAAGAGAAGAAAAAAAGTAGAAAAAAAATAAATTTTGGACTTTGAAGTAATTCATATATATATAATATATACAATATATATATATATAAAATATGTAAAATATATGTGTATACATATATAGATATATATATATACAATTTCTTTTTATTGTATAGTTTTAAAAACATTTTTAATGGATATTAATATATCTGAAAAACAATTTGAACAACATTTAACAGGGAACGAAGATGTATTTTTAAAATTTACATGTTAAATACATAAAATGCAATAGTTATTCAATATAACGTTTAATCATAAATTCCATTTTAATAAAAATTTTGAATTATTTTGCAGCGAAGACAAGAAAATATCAAACAAATTTTACAAAAAACTGGTTTTTTTGGCTTGCATGGTCGGAGTAAGCATTGACGGGAGTCTGTTGTTTGGAGATTCCACCTTAAAGTAAACGGTAAATTTCAAGGAGATATTAATAAATTTTGACTAATGGAAGATTGTCAACAATCGGAGGCTAACCTATGACTTGCAGAATCATTTTCTGAATCGATCTAGGCCTGTCTGTCCGCCTGTCTCTGTCTGCGTGTCCATTTGACGTTGGTGCACGTAAATTTGTGTTCAAGCTACCGGTAGCTATTTTCGATGATGTTTTTTGGTGAAATTTCGTATACAGATGTTCTTTGACCCAAAGACGAACGCTATTGAAAATGGTTCGGGTCAGTCTAATTTTTCGACCACACCCCAAATAACGCTCTGTTTTGAAAAGTTGTTATATGAAATTCATATGATAAAACGGCCTAATTTTCTATGCTTCATGATGAAAACTAGATCGTAATAGTAACTTTAAATTAAAAGAAAGAAGTGTACAATATTTAGACCATCTCGGCCTACTTTTTAACCCTATATAAGTATTATCAGGTCTTTTGTAGAGTAGAAAAGTCTACATTTTAATATGTTGTGATGAATATTAGGATGAAAATTAGCCATATATAACTCTATATAAGAAATTTCACGAGGACCTTTATTTTTATGGCAGTACGTTTAAGCTTTAAAATTGATTCATAATAGCAATTTAATATAAAAATTAACTGCGCTGAATTTTGAACCTTATTTTTGTACCTTAATTTTTGAACCTCTTGGACACCACCATTTTTACGGAAACTAAGCCTTTATTTGCAAAAATATTTAATTTTTAATATTCAGTTCGATAGCACTAAGTGCATACAAAAATAGAGTATAACTTTTCTGTTTGTTTGGGTTTAAATCTCCAGTCCAGCAGAGTTTTCAAGAGGCTTTAAGACTTTAGTTTCTAAATTTATTTCTCTGGCTAAACTAATTATGATAATGATAATATCTGATTTCGAAGACGTCAAAGTCAAGATACCTTTTCAATAATTTCTTGATCATTCTTGAAAGGTCTTAGAATGTGGAAAAGTTTAGAAAAGATTAGACAAGTTACCTCGGTAGGAGTTATTTGATTAAAACGTTCCATTTTAAGCAGCTCTCTACGTCAGCTATTTAACGTTCTACATAGTTTCAAAACAAAGTTGAACTAATAACAGTAAACATTAAATACCTCCCGATCTCATCTAGGTCGACTTCGGCTAAAGGCTTGACCATTTTCTCTTTAATTTTTATTATACCGAAAATTTAATTTTCCCTCTTTCCTTTTATGAAAACCTTTCTGTAAAGCGGTCCAAAAAGTTAATTAAAGTAAAGTAAATTCATCACTTCAACAATTATGTTTTTGTAAGAGCGTTCATGTGGGAAGGGAAAAGAAAATGGTTCTATTCCAAGCAAATTGTTGTATTTTTTCATTATCTCGTGTTATTACTACTAATGTTATAAAATGATAAACAATATTCTAAATGTCGTGTCATTTGTCAAGTGATCGAGGGAGAACAAATTTCCATTCGATTGGTACTATGAAGAATTGGATTATCTTAAGCCGTCATACGTGCTGCAAGCTTAACATATCCTTATTATAAGCAACCTAGGACATAAAAATTGTCCACTACAGCGAACTAATATGTCTATAAAACTTTTTGAGTTTTATATATTACGTAAATTAGTTTTGTGTTAATAGATATTAAAGGTTTCCTTGAAGGCAACGATCTTTCTTTCCTTTCTGTAAAAACAATTGTTATTACGCGAGTCATCTGTTTATTGGAGATATCTTTCCGAAAAATTGCATTGCTCAGAGTCCGATTGAGCATTTCTGACATTTTATACACTTTCATTTTCACACCGGTGTAAAGCGCGTCAGGACAGAGAGAGAAGGCCTTAAATTCTGCACATCAAACTTGTTTTTTTTCGATACTCCTCCACTTGCGTAACAACGGTCGACAAATGTAAGTTTGAAGAACGGTTCAATCAGTATGGGTGGTTGATAAAGTCACATAAAAACAAGGAAGTTAAGCAGATGAGCGTTTGTCGTTTAACATGTCAACCTCCAGCCTTGTAGCGTAAACCTTGTTTCCTGTAGCAAATTGTATTAGGAAAAGGCAAGTAGTTTTTATTGCAACGATATAATGTATATGCAAGAAGCTGTGGAATCCTTTCGTTTTGAAAAGATTTGTATTTTATGCAGTTAGATCGAACACATTAAGGAACGCTAGGAAAAACCTAGATCGTCAGTAAGACACGCCACATTTACCCATCGCCTCAATTCACCATTTGAAAACTCTATTTCAAATTTCTCGAGGGAAGGGTGTTACATTTGTCTGTGCTCATTCAAACTACGATCTTGACTTTAACTTTTTCCATTTCAGTTTCATCGATTTTAAAACGCCTAATTATAAACAACAAGCAACATGAAAAGCGTCATCATTCATAATTTTATAACTTGTTTAATAAAAATTCAAAAAAAAACTCTTTTAATAATTTATCTGTTGGTTATATGACGAAAAGCCAATTAATAAAAATTAATTAAAAATTTTTCATTTGCAATATATGCATAATATGCATAATATATATAGATTTTCATTTGAATGTTATGCCTGTTTCCATTACTACCAGTCTTTTGTAATAAATCGTGGAACGTATCCAATTCAGTTGCAAATTTTTTTACTTATATTTAATTAAAAAACTTTATTTTTTCATTTAAGTTGTTTTTTCTTTTTATTATTATCATTACACATGAACATACAGAATGTAGACAAAAATTATTTATATAATAAAGTGGGAAGTGGGAAGAAATACATGTTAATAAAACGTGCATTTAAACTCGTGTACTTGAAAGATAGATAAATAGATAGATACGGAGAGGGGAATTAGATACAGATGGATAGATAGATAGATAGATGGATAGATAGATAGAGAGAGGGAGAGAGAGACATTAATAATGAGTGACATAGACATAAGAGAAAGGCAGTCTTTTAAGAAAAATAGAAAGAAACCATTGAAAAACTCAGAGCGACTGTGCTTGAAAACAAAATGCGTTTATATATGAAACCACAAAATAGTGAACAAAAGTATAGGAAAAAACAAATAAATACTCATTAAAATGTAAATGATACGCAATAATTATTATTTTATAAAATTATTGGTGAAGAACCACCAACAGAACGTATTGTAAAGAATTCGATTAGCATAGTTTTTAAATTATTTTCAATGTGCGCGTATATATAAATTTTTGAAATTTATTAGTAAAGAAAATTGTCTGCAAACTACTCTAGTGTTTGGCCACTTAGAGTCTGTGAAGTACATCTGGGTGTACATATAAAGAGCTTCCAATGGGTACGTTAGTTTTACGATCGGCGATCGTATAAACAGATGAACGGAGGGAACAAACTTAACACTTTTTCCTGACTGAGAATTTATATACTTAAGGAGTTTCCCTGTTAATAATCCCCGAGGGTGCCAATCGGCTGGCAAACCCAATATACCCTGAAATTTTGTTAATAAGATATTTAATAAGAAAAAAAATATGCAAAAAAACAGAAAATAAAATCAAGTAAAAATACTGACCTACTTTGTTAAAATAAAACATAAAAAACAGTTTGTTATTTATATTCATTTAATCAGATGAAACAAATGGTGCATATTACAATTTTTTTAATTTTAATTTATTTTCGTTGTTGTTAATTTATTTATTTTTTTTAAATTTTTAATTGAGAAAATTTATTTAAAATGATTTAATGTGAAAAATAAAAAGGGCCAGGTTTGAGAATAACTGCACAAATTCCCGGCTACACTTTTCCTCGTTCGATCGTCGTTATTGATGTAAGAGGAAAATAAGCCAATGAAAATTTGCAGCAGCTCGTTCGAAATTTAATTACTTTTTTCTGTTTTTTTTTTTTTACAGAAAAACATCTGCTGACCCGAAGTAAGTGGTTATTTCTGTTTTACTTAATTTTTTTTATTGGTTTTCCTTTTGGGATTTAATTGAGTGTCAAAAGTTTTAATATTATAAAATCATCAATTTTCGATTTGGTTTTATGAAAATTTGTTAAGTAAACAAAAATTTCCTTTTGGTTTATTTTCATAACGATTAAACCTTTTTTTTTTTTTAATTTAAGTTAAATTTTTAGTGTATTTTTAATTTTATTGATTTATAATGAAATGAATTTAATTCTTAAGTAAGTAACCTTTTTTTTTTCATTTAAATTATAACCAAATGAAAAAATGATTGAAAATAAAAAATTTCAAACAAGAAACTAGAATTAACACAAATCACACATCTAGTTCGAAAACATTACATTTGCCATAAATGAAATTGGTTAACGTAAAGAACTTACCTAAAAGAGGTACGGCATCTGAAGTAGCTGGCATGGTTTCGGCCACCATATTAAGAAATACCGTAAGCGATAGTAATATAGTAACACCTGCATTCATGATGGGAAAATGGAAAAATAAAAAATACTTATTGCGATTAACAAACACTCAGTAATTGAAATTTATATTCTAATAAATTCATGAGATTTCCATAACATTGAGACAATGTTTTGCAAACCCGATTCCACACTTCACTATCGGTAGTACTCCAGTCTTGACTTCTTTTGCGGCTAATCTTACTTATTAAAATTAATGCATTTGATCTTAATACGATATTCATTGTATACATGATGTAAAATGTACGTATGCAATATAATACATATATATATATATATAATAATACTTAATAAACACTATAAAATATATAAAATCCAAATGAGGATAAGCGCTACAAGCGAAGGTGTCCGATAAAATAATATAGAATTGAGAATGTTTGCTTTGAAAATAATCCGGCACCATAACATTGCATCAAGGTAAACATTCGATGCGATATTTACAATGCTATGACTGCCGGCTGTATAGCTGGACGAGAAATTTGGAAACCTGATGATCGCCCATTCATTTAAAATTTCTACCACTCTTTTGTTGACATCTTTCTCGTTGACTTGAATCGTTCTTCTGGCTTTTTTCCTTTTGCGTAACTTTTAGCTGCCTAATAGCCAACTCAGCATATTCATACTGTGTTATATTCATATGTCCGCGGCCCTCCTTATTAAGCTCTGTCCCTAAATTCCTATCAACTTTATTTCGTAGGAAGAAGCTTGTCTCCTTGCGATATGCATATCAGGCAAACACTAATCTTCAAAATCTCCCTTATACAGCTCTGACCATATCCTCCTCAAAACCCACAAATAATTCTTCCAAAATTCATGAAGGATATAGCTCGTCCTAATAATCAGTCAGAAACAATCGGAAGATTGCGTATTAGACTTTTCGCATTATTTATTATTATTTATTTATTTATTTTAATTCTACTTATACATGAAACTCGACTAAACAAATAACAGTCGAGTTCAATTGGCACTTAAAGCAAAACTAATATTAATTAACAATAAAATTGAGTATAAGCATAATAAAACAAATAAGAAGAAAAAAAGAAGAAAAAAAAGCATGTTCACTATCAGCATAGGAGCACACTTACAACCTGTACAGGACCAAATTGCAAATGAACCCCTAAGCCATCGCAAACATGCATAACCCTGGCAACAGATAATAAATTGACAATAATTCACTTTCGAAACGTAACGACTTTTTAAGGATAAAAGCTAGTTTAAGTAAGACACAGGTAAATCGGGCGTATTAAGCAATGTTGCTTTAATGGACCTTGAAGAGTCCGATAACGAGAATAAGTGGTAGACTTCATTTAGGTTCTTGCAAACGACTCTGAGCGGATTAAACAGCTCATAATTATATTTACACTGACTAAGCTTAACCAAGATAAAGTGTCTAAAGAAGCGGTTAGGGACATTAAAGCTTATTTCACCAAGTAATAAAGGCGAGTATATAGCACCATTTATTACTTTGATTACGAAGGAGACGCCAAGAACAAGCCTACGTTTCTCAAGAGACGGTAAGCACAGCAGAAGCAACCTATTTTCATAGGGAGGAAGAGAGGCAAACGGATCGCAACCCAAATTTCTAAAGGCAAACGGCAAGAATTGCTTTTGAACAGATTCAATCAAATCTACGTAGCACCTATATGAAGGAGACCACACAACTGAGGCATACTCGAGTATAGGTCTAACCAAACACATGTAAAGCATTTTCGTAATGTAGGGATCATCAAGCTCTTTGGACCACCTTTTCATAAAACCAAGCGCGGATCTAGCTTTGCTTATCGAGAGCTAAATATGCAAGTTGAAACGCAACCTATGGTCAAATAGAAGCCTAGAAAACTTGACAGGTAAACTCTAACAAGTTGGTGACTGTAGATCTCCCTTTCCGAAAGCCGTGCTGGTGCGGAGAAATATACGAATTAATAGCAAAGGCCAGATGCTGAGTCACAATTCGCTCGAACAACTTGGGCAAGACACTCAACTTGACTATGCCTCTGTAGTTCTCAACAAATTGTCTACTTCCACTTTTGGGGATAGGAATGAAGAACCTGCTCTTCCAACATGAAGGGAAAACGCCTAAATACAAGGACAGGTTAAAAATCTTTGAGATCACACCACATAACTCGACAGCGCAAGATTTAAGTACACATGATGGACTTCCATCAGGTCCTGGCGCGCAACAATATTTTAGAGAACTCAACCCTTTAAAAACATCGTCTTCCGAAATTAGCAAGTTAGGAATTGAGACGGAGTTATTTATAGGATATGGGTAGTTTGCTGATAAATCGAAATTAGCAATCGAAAAGTTTCGTCGGAAATACTCAGCAAACAGATTTGAGATTTCAAAATCATCCGAGGAATCAGAGCCATTAAAAGAAACATGCGAGGGATATGTGCAAATTTTTCTTTTAGAGTTAACACATTTAAAAAAGTATTAAGGATTAGCAAACAGAGAGGATTTAATGGACTGAAGGTATCTGCAGTAATAATGATGGCTGAGGGAGTTAAATCTATGCCTCGCCACCGAGTAAGCGACATAGTCGAGCTCAGAGCCACTTTTCGAATATTTTTTGAATAGCGTGTTTTTTCTATTCTTGTAATATTAAATTGTCTTATTAAACCACGGGGGATACCTGCATCGAGGTCGGCACTGCTTGATCGGAGTAGATGCAGCAATAGCTAGATTTAATGTCTTGTAGAACGATGACAATAAGCTTTCAATACTTCCGGTTGAGAAATCAACCCTCATATGTGAAAGACGATGTTTTAGCAATACAATATTGATTTTATGAAAATCATAACATTTATTTAAAAAAGTTTGATTTGGCACATTAAGGCAGTTCAACCATACATCATTCATATGTTGAAAGGAAAAGGATGATAAGGATCCTCAGGTAAACTAAAAGGTGGGCAACGATTTAGGTTAATCTCAGGAAAGTTGGCAAAGCAGAGATCAAGCAATCTACCATTACAAATAGGGGTATGATTATACTGAACCAAATTGTGATCAAACAATTCATTAAAGAACATAATATAATAAACTTGTGGTGTTGTCTATTTTGTGGCTACTGAGGAATAACGACTCAAATTTAAAATTAAAACTATTGCTTATCCTGTAGCATTATCGATCTGTCGCACTCTACCGCTTTTGCAAGTTATTGCTAAGTTTACATTTTATTATTATTGCTAAGTTTACATTTATTGCATTTCAAATGTGACATCTAACCTAGCTAAGATAGCCTAATTTAGTTGTAACCCATATTACTCGTAATTCTAGCAATAACCTATTTTAATTATATTATTCGCTTAAGTAAGCATTAAATTATTAGTTATATAAGACACCTGACCATACCTCAGTCAGGCCAGAATATAAGCAAGTATCTAAAAGAAAAGTAACAAATAAAGACTTTAAAATAATCCACTGAACAAAAGAACATTTAATTTTGAGTGGTGTCACTACAATCCCTATACAACAGTTTCTTGTCCATAAGCTCGTCCTGTGGGGCCCGTTTGTTACTATGTTGTGTTCGATTGATAGCACGATACATAGTCAGGACGGATGGAGGACACGATTCATGTGTCAATCTTCTATGATGAGAGAACAGATATATCTTCGGATATTATTTACGTAGACCGATTGATTCTGCACTTAAACTTTTATACCAAAGTGAAATTAATGATCGCTGCATTTTTTATTTACAATGACTTGTCAACTAATCCCTTCAGTTACCGTTTTACATTGAATATTAGAAAGTGAGTTCTATTACTTGTTATCAATACTTTAAACGCATTTGAGATAAAAATTTGATCGTTTCTATTTGAAGAAATACTTTAACCGGCATTCTTGAAGTGGTGCTCTTGTCAATAATATCAATTTTTTCCCAAATTGTTGCTCGGTGTGAGTAGTATTTCTATCAGAAAGTCTAACTTTGCCGGACGCCTAAGCACATTGTTTTAATATGACTTTAAATAACAAATTTTAATAACAAAGGCGAAGAGTTCTTTAAGGATATTCGCCCTGATCGAAATGAAATGAAAAATACAAAAACAGTTTATTTGTCCACATACAATCTTGAAGGAGTTTGTGAAAAAAAAAAATAAAAAATAATTGTTTATTCACAGTTTCTTGTCGTTGTGTTTACTGTTTACTAAATTATAAACCTCTCACATTTTCACAGCTTGGAATTTTTTGTTTATTTTTGTAAAAGAAAAAAAATTTTCGTTTATTTTTATAAAAGAAAAATTTTATATTCAAAGCTTACTGCAGTGACACCACTTAGAAATTGAATGTTCTTTGGTTTATTGGATTATTTTAGATTCTTTACTCTTTAACTTTCGTTTAAAATACTTGCTTATATTATGATGTATCTAATGTATGGTCAGTATCTTATATAAGAAATAACTTAATGCTAACTTAAGCAATATAACTAAATTAGGTTATCGCTTAGAATAATAACGTAAGCATATAATATTTTATTAATAGCTTATTACTAGAATTACACTATCTTAACTAGGTTAGGTGTAAAATGTAAACTTAGCAATAACTTGTAAATTACGGTAGAGTGCGACAAATCGGTAATACTACTTTAACTTATATATATTCAGTTATCTTTTTGACAAGAGTAGAAAATCTTTTTGCTTCCCTATGCCGCGTATGTGCTTGGTTTTGCAAGCTACAACAGCTTTGCCTGCATTTTCTCATATAATTACAAAAAATGTATTTTACAGTTTTGGGTGTTATCCCAAATCTTTTCACAAATTTCGCAAGAAAAAAGATTATTGTGCTTTGATTTTTGGTTTTCGTTTATGTGCGTTAAAATATTTCCATAAACGTAGTTGAGGATTTTCGAAATTGTGGTTTATATGATTCAATAGATTTTAATTATTATATTACAAATGCTTTTCCTGTAGACTATAAAACTAACTTCGATGTCTTTCTTTACATTCCATGCGATTTCTGTCACATCTGCGGGGTTGCCTTTAAACCCTCTGAT